AGGCTGGGCTTCAATTTGTGATCCTCCTGACTCAGCCACACAGAGTGGTCAGATTACAGGCATGTGTCATTGCACCTCACTAGAATATACAAAAGGAACGCAAAACACTTATGAAGTTAAACTATATTCTGTCCTATAAAAAGTCTCTATAAACTCACTGAGATTATATATTCTCTGATTATAACAGAGGTAAACTAGAAATCCAAAACAGAAAGCTATGTGGAAATAACCAAATATTTGGAAATTAAACACATTTGTACATCAAAGAAATTAGAAAATATTTTCTTTCTTCTTTTTGGAGACAGGGTCTTCCTGAACAGTTCAGAGTGGCCTTGAACTAACTATGTAGCCTAGGCAAGCTTCAAACTTGCAGCAATCCTTCTATTTCAGCCTTCTGTGTGCTAGAATTACTGGCATGCACTATCACAGCCGGTCAAAAACAAATCTTAAATCAATGTAAACTTTCATCTATAAAAGACTAGGAAAAACTAATTAAACCCAAGGTATGAAAATGAAAGGAAACGAACAGATAAGAAATAAGAAGTGAGGGAACAAAAAACCTGAGGTCAATGAAAAAAAAAGCTCGTATTCTGAAAAAATGAAATTGATAAATTCATTATCAATGAATTTTTCCAGTAGTTAATGGACAAGGAAAAGTGACAGACACAAATTACCAACAACCTCTCTGGAGGATGCAGTGTCAAGGCACTATCTTGGAAGCAAAAGACAGCCCTCACCAGATAACCAAATCTGATAGTGGCTTGATTTTGAATTTCTTATCCTCCAGAACTATGAGGAAACAAATATATGCACATCTACAATCTGAGCAGCTCTGGAAAAATGGCCATTGATACAAATGATACTAACAAAAGGATAAAAAGTATATTTTGAACATCTTATGCCACTATAATTTACAATTTAGATGATAAAATGGACAGATTTCTGAAGAGACACAACATAAGTTTTCCAAATTAGGGGCTGAGGAGATGGCTCAGTAGAATAAGCGCTTGCCTGGCAAATGCAAGGGCCTGAGTTCAACCCCTGGTTCTGCCAAAAACAAAACAAAATAACAAACAAACAACAACAACAAAACAAATTAAAAACAAATGATAACCTGAATAGTGCTAGGTTCTACTACAGAACTGAACCATCAGTTTACCATATTGTATGTTTGTTTGTTTACAACACAGGGGATCGAACTCAGGACCTTATGCTTGCCAGGCAGGTACTTATGCCACTGAGCTATATCCCTGGTCCTTTCTTAAAATTTATTTACTTATTCGGTACAGGGTCTCGCTAAGGCCAGCATGGTATGCGGTACCAGGGATTGAACCTGGGTCCTGGTGCTTGCCAGGCAGGTGCTTAGACTGATGAGCTATCTTCCCAGCCAGTTTACAATATCATAATGAAATCTCCAGATTGATATAGCTTCACTGCTGAGTTCTCACAAATAGTCAATGAGCAAATAATTCCAATTCTACACAAATTTCTTAGAAAATATTTTATCAGGCAGCACTACACTGATAAGAAATAGAAAAAATATAGACCAAATCCTTCACAGACCAAAAAACTCTTAATGCATTATTAGCTAATTCATTAAGTGATATACACAAAAGTATCATATCATGACAAAGTAGTGCATCTTCTAGGGCAATGTTTATTTGTTTATTGCATTTTTTTTTTTAGGGAAGGGTCTACAGGGTGTTCAGGGGCTCACTACTAGATCGGACTCTAGAGATCCGCCAGTTTACGGCCTCCTAAGAGCTGGGATTACAGCCACTACGCCTAGTCTCAATTGCTGCCTCAGCATGCCCCAGGGGTGGGGCCCAGCACAGCACCTGCTTGCAGGTGCTTTAATCCACTGAGGTATTTGGCTGGCCCTGGCAAAGTATAACATCTTAAAATCAATCATTATAATTTACTATAGCTGGGGGTGGTGGCGGATGCCTGTAATTCCAACACTGGGGAGGCTGAGACAAGAGGATCATTGTGAGTTCGAGACCAGCCTAGGCTACAAAGGGAGCTTAAGGCTGGCCTGAACTGCATAGTGAGACCCTGTCTTAAAAAGATTAAAAAAAAAAAAT